TACAAATGGAAAAAAAATGTATTATCCTAAGTTTAGGATATGACTATCCTACCTTAGGTTGTAAATTCTCTGGAGGCAGATATCATCTTCAATTTTATGTAATTAATTAAAAATCTTTTTCGTCATCAAAATGGGACTCTTAGTTAATAAGGGAGGAGAGGATTAAGAGAGGATTAAAATAATATTACAAAAAACCCTCAGACACAGTGATTTTCCTCTACTTTCGTAAGGTGTTCATTTTAAAAAATAATTCAATAAATAACTATAATTCCCCCCAAATGTCAATAAAACACACAAGAGTATCAAATCAAATGACAACTGTACTCAGAATGTCTAAGTGGCATGCATTGTTGTCTACCCTTAGGGTATGAGATTTCATTCATGTTTTTGTTGTTCAAAAGCCAATTATATACCATTTTCTACTTGTATTGTTTCAAAATTGGTAATTTGGAATATCATAGTAATTTAATCATTTACTGAACATGTATTCGACTATCTAAAATATGCCAAATTTTCTGTCTCTTCTTTTATGTTATCATTTTTGAATAACTGAAGTGTTCGTGTAAAGGTGATATAAGAATTTAAAGAACTCATTCATTTATCTGTTAATTCCAACAAACATTTATGGAGTGCCTACTATTTTTTATTATATATAAATAGATTTTTAATTGAACTTTTTATATTGACATAATTATGGATTTACATGTAAGTGTAAGAAATAATACAGCGAGATTTGGTATATACTCTTTAATAAATTTTCCTCAATGATAACATCTTTTAAAGCTATAGTACAATGTTGCAATGAGGACATTGATATTGATATTGATATGCTCGAGGTACAAAATGTATCCATCACCACAAGATTCCTTCATGTTGCCTTTATAGTTATACCTATTTATTTCCCTCTTGCCCCTAACCACGCCCTAAGTGCTGTCAACCAATAATGTGATCACCTTTCCTGTAATTTTGTCATTTCAAAAATATTATATAAATGGAGTCTTGTAGTATCTGACCTTTATAGATTGTCATTTTCACTTAGCAAAATTCTCTGGAGATCCAGAGAATTTGTTGCATGTATCAATATTGCATTCGTTTTAATTGCTATATAATCTTCCATGGTAGGGGCTATATTACCATTTATTTAACCGTTTACCCATTGGAAAACATCTGGGTTTTTTTCAGGTTGTGGCTATTATGACTAAAGCTGCTATAAACATTTGTGTACAGGTTTTCATATAAACATAAGTTTTTATTGCTATGGGGAAATGCCCAGCAATGTACTTACTGGGCCATATAGCAGTTGCATGTTTAATTTTTTTAAGAAACTGCTAAACTATTTTTCGAAGTAGCTATCCCATTTTACATTTCCACCAGCAATGTTTGAGAGAACTTGTGTCTGACATCCGTGCCAGCCTTTGGTGTTGTTACTATTTTTAATTTTAGCCATTCTTATAGGTATATACTGATATCTCCTTGTGGTTTTAATTTTTTAAATTATTATAGGTACATAATACTTTTATATTTTATAGGGTGCATGTTATGTTTTGATATAGGCATACAATACGAATTAATCAAATCAGGGTAATTGGAGTTCTATAACCTCAAGCCTTTAACATTTCTTTGTGTTAGGAACATTCCAATTTCATTCTTTTAGTTATTTTAAAGTATACCTTAACTTGTTGTTTATTACAGTAATTTTGTTGTGCTATCAAATATTGTTCTATCTATCTAATTACATTTTCATACCCATTAACCATCCCTACTTTATTACCCACTCCCTGCTACCCATCCCAGCCTCTGGTAACAATCATTCTGCTCTCTGTCTCCATGAGCTCAATCATTTTAATGTTTAGCTCCCACATGTGAGTGAGAACACGCAAGATTTGTCTTTCTGTGCTGGGCTTGTTTCACTTAATGTAATGTTTTCCAATTCCATCCACGTCGTTACAAATGGCAGGATTTCATTCTTTTTGTGGCTATGTAATATTCCATTGTGTATATGTGCCACAATTTCTTTATCCATTCATTTGTTGGTGAACACTCAGGTTGATTTCAAATCTTGGCTTTTGTGAATAGCGCTGCAATAAACATGGGAGTACAGATATCTTTTTGATTTACTGAATTCCACTCCTTTGGATATATATCCAACAGTGGCATTGGTGGGTCATATTGTAGCTCTATTTTTGGTTTTTTGAGGAATGTCTATACTGCTCTCCATAGTGTTTGCACTAATTTACATTCCCATCAACATTGTAGGAGGGTTCCCCTTTCTCCACATCCTTACCCCCATTAATCATTGTCTGTCTTTTGCATAAAAGCCATTTTAACTGGGATGAGATGATATCTCATTGTAGTTTTGATTTTCATTTCTCTGATAACTAATGATGTTGGGCTTTTTTATATATATACCTTTGGCCATTTGTATGTCTTTGTTTGAGAAATGTCTGTTCAAATCATTTTTTAATCAGATTTTTTCCTAATGAGTTGCTGGAGCTCCTTATATATTCTAGTTATTATTAATCTTTTGTCAGATGGATAGTTTGAAAATATTTTCTCCCATTCTGTGGGTTATCTCTTCCCTCTGTTGATTGTTTCCTTTGCTATGCAGAAGCTTTTTAGCTTGATGTGATCCCATTTGCCCAATTTTGCTTTGGTTGCTTGTACTTTGGGGAGATCACTCAATAAGTCCTTGCCAAGACTTTTCTGGGTAAATCATTTCCCCAATGTTTTCTTTTAGTAGTTTCATAGTTTCAGATCTTAGATTTAAGTCTTTAATCTCATTGTGGCTTGAATTTGTTATTTCCTTAATGTCTTATGCTACTGAACATCTTTTCATGTGCTTATCTGCCTTCTGTATCTTCTTTGGTGAGGTGTCTTAGTTCATGTCTTTGACTATTTTCTGATCACATTATTTATTTACTGTGGAATTGTGTTTTTTGCTTTGTTTTATTTTGTTTTGAGACAGGATCTCACTCTGTCACCCAGGCTGGAGTGCAGTGTCGTCATCATAGCTCTCCTCAATCTCAAATTCCTGAACTCAAGAAATCCTCCCGCTTCAGCCTCCTGAGTAGCTGGGACTACAGATGCATGCTACAATACACAGCTAATTTTTTCTGGTTTTTTTTGTAGAGACAGGGTCTTGGTATGTTACCCAGGGTGGTCTCAAACTCCTGGCCTCAAGCGATCTTCCCACCTTAACCTCTCAAAGTGCTAGGATTACAAACCTGAGCCACCATGCCCAGTTGAAAGTTCTTTATATATTTTATATTCAACTCCTTTGTTGGATATGTAATTGACAAATATTTTCTCCCAGTTTGAAGCTTGTCCTTTCATCCTCTTTACATTGGTTTCACAAACCTAAAGTTTTTTTTTTTTTTAATTTGATGAAGGCCAATTTGTAATTTTTCTTTGTATAGATCTCTTTTGGTATCAAGTTTAAGAACTCTTTGACTCACCTATTTTATACTAAATGTTTTATAGTATTATTTTTTATGTTTAAGTTTATGATCCATTTTGAGTGAATTTTTGTGCAAGAAGTAAGACTTAGCTAGAGGTTCTTTATCTTTTTTGTTTTGTGTATGAATGTCCAAATCTTCTAACATAATTTGTTGGAAGTCTGTTCTCCTACCATTGAATTGCTTTTGCATTTTTGTCAAAAATTATTCAGGCCTATTTGCATGGGTCTAAACATTAGTTCCCTATTGTTGTCTTATATAATTACCGCAAGTTCGGTGCCTTAAAACAACACAAATTTACTATTACTATGTTACAGTTCTGTAGGTCACAAATCGAAAATGGGTCTTCCTAGGCTAACATCAAGGTGTTGGCAGGGCTGCAGTCCTTCTGGAGGCTTTAGGGGAGAGGCTGAAGTCATCTCCTCATTTTTTCTGTCTTCTAAAAGCAGCCCATGTTCCTTGGTTCATGACTACTTTCTCCATCTTCGAAGCCAGCAAGATAGCATCTTCACATCTCTCTCTTACTCTGATGTTTATGCTTCCTTTTTAGAAGATTCTTGTAATTACATAGGGCCCATCCAGATAATCTGGGATAATCTTCCCATCTCAATGTTTATAATTTTGCCACATCTCTAAAGTCCTTTTTGCCATAGAAGATAACATATTCACAGATTCTAGAGATTGGTGTGTGAACATCTGTGAGTGTAGTTATTCTGCCTGCTACATTCTGCCCTCTAGTGCCCAGTGATTCTCTTGGCTCTTATAAGGACTAGTTAAGTATGTATCCATAGAGCAGTCAGCAAAGGCAGATACAAGCAGTCTGGAACCCTATTTCTGAAATCGTGATTAGTTTTTTTGTGTGTGTTTTTTTTTTTATCGCTGCATAACAAATTAGCACAAATTTAACATCTTAAAACATTACCCAGTTACTATCTCATATAGCCTTTAGAGGACATTCGCCATATTCAAAGATCCTGCCCACACTCAAGATCTTTCACAAAGATGTGAATACAAGGGAGCAGGAATCACAGGAGCCATCTTAGAATTCTGCCTATCACAAAGTACAGTGGACGCTTTGGACAGAGAAATGGATCCCTTTAGAAAGACTGTGTTGAATAAAAGATTGAGCCTGTATTTAGGACATAACCCTGAGGAACATCAGCTTTTATAGGATAGAAAGATGAAGATAATTTACAGTATGTCCAGAGTGGTGGTAAAAAAACAAAACAAAATAAAACAAGAGTTTTACAGTGGTAGACTAAGAAAGGAATAAATTCATGGGAAGGAGATGGGGTCAGTGGTGTCAACATGTACAGCAAGTATGTACCTAAGAAAGCAATTACTGATCTAAGAGAGGATTATTTGAAATCTCAGCAAGATCAGTTGTATGAAAGAGATATTAGAGGGACAGAACCAGATTAAAGACTGAATAGAAAATGAAATGGAGACACAAAAAGTGTGGTCTGTTAACATAATAATTATTTTATGATAATTAGCCCTTAAACTTTGAAATAATTGTTTTAATTAGCATTTTTAAAGAATGAAATAAAATCCTCTTCCTACTAAATTTTTTTCATTTAAACCTAAAAAATGAAGCAAGTTTATCTCTACCTTATGAAAGTTGTAGGAAGACATATTGCACAACAATACTGCGGACATTAATCAAGATGTAGCAGTTGTGACAGAAAACAAAAGGTTGCGTAGATCCTAAAATGTAAGCTGTTTGCACAAAAGCAAATGCACATGTGCACACTTGCACATACACACACCCCACTGTCATTTGGATATTTTGTATAAAAATATTTCAGTAAAAGTTTAAACAATGATACCTTTGCTATATGGATGGGCTTATATCCACATGCCAAATAATTTGAACTGATATGAGGTCTAAGATTGAGATTTAAAGTAAGAAAGATAATGGTTTATTCAGAAGCTTGTTTTTCTTTCTTGTGTCTAGCTACTTAAAGAATTTAAAGATGAAGATTGGAATATGGGCAATATAGTATTCACCCTCACAAACAGACGCTACCTTGAAAAGTGCATTGCTTATGCAGAAAGCCATGATCAGGTAAATGAGTATGTGTATAAATTCATTTTCCTCTCTCTCTTTCTCTGTATTTAATAAAATATCTAAATATAAACTTTCATTTTTTAATATGGTTAATATAATATGTATGTGTATATATTCTTTATGTGAAAACTATTCATACTTGAAAAACATTTTGAAATTATGTTTTAGATCTAGGAATCTCAGCTTCAAATGCAGTATTATCTTTACCTTGCCAAACTGTAATTAACAGATTGGACATTGCAGTTGTAAGTGTTATATGTTTTCCTTTGTCATAATGAAGAATATTGGTGCTGATCCAGGGTTATTTTAGTTTTCACTTTAGGCTTCCTTCTACGATTTTCTCTTATGCCTTTGGCAACCTTTTGTCATTTTTTTCCCTCAATCACTGGAATCTCCTGCTAATTGATCTCTGACCCCTGTTCCTCCCGCTTCAGTCCGTCTTCTTTGATACAGTCTGAGGTACTTTCCACCAAGCAAAGCTCATCTTGTCAACCCAGACCGAGTGGTGGAAGTTTGTCATTTTAAGTCCACTCATATCGTGGCCCATGCCAAAGTTTCCAGCTTCATTCTCTGCCCAACTCTCCAAGCCTTCTATTTTTCAATACTTTGAAATCCCCACTCAATCCAAATAGGTCCATCCTTTCCAATCTTATACTTTTCCCCAGGCACCTGAATCTGCCTACTTCATCTGTGAAGCTCCTTCTCAGACCTAATCCCCGTGCTCAGATATCACGTTCTCTATGAAGCCTTCCTTGAGTCATGTAGGGAAAAGTAGTTGCCCCATTATCCAAGGTTCCATCATGTTTTAGGGAGGAAATTGGTTTTCATTACCTTTGTATTTTTAGCCTTTATCACTGTGCTCCTAGTAATCACTCAATGAACATCAATAAATGTGGAAAAGAGCCACTTAATTATTTAAAGTCATATTAATCATCATAAACATCAGCATAAAAAATTTACTTTTTATAGATTGAAAGGGACACAATAAAATTTTTTTGAAATTGTTTAAAGTATCTGTACTAAGAAAATTGAAACTAAAACAGTAAGTTTTTCTTTGTCATTTCAGCAGAAATTGGCGATTTAATGGGAATAATATGTTTTTTCAGTTATCTACACTAATTGTCTAGAAAGTCTATGTAGACAAGGGGTTGGCTAACTAAGGTCCATGGGCCAAATCCTACCTGCTGCCTGTTTTTATAAATAAATTTAGTTGGAACACAGCCATGCTCATTCACTTAGGTATTGTTTTTTTGTGCCTTAATGGCAGATTTGACTAATTGAGACAGAGAAAGTGGCCCATAATGCCTAAAATATTTACTGTTTGGCTTTTTACATAAATTTGCTGACCCTGATTAGGCACATGCTAAATTTTGCATCTTCCAAATTGGGGCAGTGCTTTCTTATCAACTTAAATTAATAGTATCCTTGACTATATGGCAGATCAAATAAATACCTATGTAAATACTAGAACCCAATCTAGAATGGAATAATATTAATTTAAAGAGTCAGGGATGGGGGTCAGGTGATTGTTATATACCAAATATATAACAATGTGAAAATTAAAATGCATGCATAATACATGCATTATATCTTTCGATTGAAAACTCCCAGAAGTTGTAGCACAGTATCAATTCCCAGCATATGTTTGTTTTGTATGAATGAGTGAAAGAGTAAATAAATGAATGGAATAAAAAAATTAAAGATGAAACTGTGATTAATGCACCAAAACTTCCATAACTTTCTACCCAATTTGTAAAGAAACATAGTTTTATCAAGAATTATTTCATACTTTAAAGATTCAGGTAATTCTTCCTGGTGGTGTCAGGAATTGTCAGGAATGCAGAAATGATGCAACTTGCCTAGTTATTTCTAAAAGCAAATGTTCTTTGATTCTTAAGCCTGATAAAAAATATAAATACATATAAGTACATACATTTATAAAATGAATAATAGAAATATATGCATCATAGTTAATATGTGGATACTATTTTGAAATTTTTAGGTAACTCCTTAAACTTAACTAAATTTGTAAAATTAATTAAATTTTTCCAATATTTCAACAGTATTTTTTAAGAGGGCAACTAGATATGGAAATAAACTTTGTGAACCTAAACAAAAATTACCAGAATAATTTTGTAATAGAATGAGAGACCATAGAAATAAACAGTTATACATAAAAAATAATTTAACAAGGTAGGAAAGATGAATTATTTAAGAATTAGTGCTGTAGATGTCGTTATTTTAAAGAAAAGTCATTTTAATTAAAGTAGGTTAGAGATAGAATAGGCTTATAAGCAAAAAAATAATCATAATAGTGTACTGAAATTATGAGTTAAGTTCTATTGTACATTGCACTATATGTTATTATTTAGTCAATGATGAACACTTTGCATTGGTTAGGTATCATTAACCGTGAATAATTCAGATTATTAGGAGGCTTGTCTTTTGCTACTCAGGGCATTTCTGAGTTATCTGCCCTAATTATCAGTTATTGTCTTTTCAGATAAAACAAACTAAATTTAGGTTAAATGGCAAATACAATGGCAAAGCAACTTTACCTTTAAATAAAAGTTTTCAATCTATTTTCTCTGCTGAGGGTGAGGGGGAACTATTATAATATATTCAAATACATATAAATCTCATATATATAAGTTATACATCTTATATACAGCCCATATAAATGGTTTTCCAAAAACTCTTCCAGTCTTTGAAAGCAAATGAAATCATGGCATATAAACTATTTAAAAATCTATTTACTATTTTCAACATGTTTGCTTCAGAAAATTTTAGAAAATTTAAAGCCTCAGCTCAGAAATAACAAATATTTATGTATCAAATCTTGGGTTTTTTTCTTCAAGCTCTTTTAAAAAGAAAAATTAGTCCTGAAAACAAATGTGTTGATCTCTAATGTGTTTTATTAGCTCACCTTCAGCACAGAAAGTAATCATTGGAACATACATGAAGTTTATACTAATCCATACACCGCTTCCACATTATTTCCCATCCCATATAACCATGTGTTATTCTAGTGTAAATCACAACTGCTTACTACTTACACTTTTCATTTATCTCAGTGACCTTTATTTCTGTAGGCACTGGTTGGTGATAAGACGCTGGCATTTTGGTTGATGGATGCCGAAATGTATACAAACATGAGTGTTTTGACTCCTTTCACTCCAGTTATTGATCGTGGAATACAGCTTCATAAAATGATTCGACTCATTACTCACGGGCTCGGTGGAGAAGGCTATCTCAATTTCATGGGTAAGTGTGAGTTAAACACATATCCAATCTGTGTTTAAAGTGTTAACTTATATATATGACATAAATCATGTAGAATATCTTGATTTTTGCCTTTCAGATTTAGAATATAAAATTGCAACATTTCTTTAATATGCTGTCATGTGTAAATTGCAAAAATAAAATTAAACCACTGTAAGATTATTATTATACTAATACATGATATAAAAGTACAGTCTAAAAGCTGGTATTTTATTGACTATTGCTATCAGTAAGTGGGCTTAACTATTTTAGAAACCCAGAATTATTATTGTTCTGAATTTAATCATTCAGAGTTTATTTTATTATTGTAGTATTTGCACATTAAATATAAGATGTAACTGTCAAATCATAAGATAGTAAGCTCGTATTATTGGTCTTCTTTGAGATGATTGTACACCAATATACCTCTGTTATAAATGTGAAAACTTAGGCCCAGGGATATTGTGATGGGAAAAAATGATTTATTTTTGGAAATAGAAAAATATGAATATTCAAAGGTCATTGTTGTCCAAAGGCTCTTGATATAAAATATACAAATCAACTGTTCTATTTGGCAAACAATGAACATTTGAAGTTTTGTGTTTTAGGAGATTTTACCAGCTTTTGGGCTAGAGAAGGACAGAAAGACTTTAGAATACATACAGGAGGCTGATTTATTTTCCTACAATAAAAGCCTTAGAACTTTGGATTAATTCATTTCTATTTGGAAATTTTTTTAAAAAATCTCACATTGGACCTTAAAATGCTCTGTTGTTTGCTAACTAGAGATTAGGAAGCCAAGCCCCAAAAAGCATACACTAGATTTCACCTGGACTACCTATACCTTTGGATATATTGCTCACCTCTCAGTGTCAACAAAATTTGTTAACATTCCTAACCTGACAGGAAGTGCCCTTCCTGACATGTATGAGGCTTTACTGTGTTAGCTTAGTCACCAGGCCAGGTTTCCTGGGTTGACTTTGCAAGCATTGGTTCGATAAGTTTAGTCAGCATTAGTCCCTTAAAAGCAACTGGTCCTACTTGACTCAATAAGCGTCATTCTCCAATGTAGACAAAAGTAAAATAGACATCTGAGTTCATTCAGGCAACCCTATGTTGTTAATTCTTGAAGCCAACTGCATCTGAAAATATAGAAATCCTGACTCAGTCCACTGCTTTAGTCTGGAAGTTGTAGATGCCTCTACCAAAGAGTCTAGAGTTCATTGCACATCTGCCATTTTGGAGCTCGTTGGTCCACAAGGTTCTGAATTTTAGATTGAGGTCCATGCAGAGACCTCAGTGCATTTCACCTGGAGCTAGTCCTGCTACCCCCATCATGGCTGGGGCTTGTTCCTGTTACTGGGGTGTCGCATATACCCATCTGCTTCTGCTGAAGCTGGTTCTTACCCATGGGTGCCACCTACTGGCTACAGGCTTAACTGCTCAACTCAGTCAAAAAAGGAACGAAACAAATTAAACGTGCACACCACTGGGGAATGAGATAAGCTTCATGAGACCTCTGCCATTCATTCTGACTCTACAGGAGGCAGTGAACCTGCTCATATGCCCAGTACATCATGACTACAACTAGCATCAAAGTCACTACACAAAGGACATCTATAAGAAAGGAACTCACGCAGAGTCTTTGCCACTGAAAGCACCCAGAACTGAAATCAGGTGATCGCAATACACCTAATCACAAAGGTGAAAAAAAGAAAACAGACAATCCAAAATAAATTAAAACATAATGATAAATAGTCTATCCAGATGAGAAGGAACCAGAAAAACAATTCTGGTAATATTAAAGAAAAAAGAAAAAAACAGTTTTATAACACCCCCAAAGGAGCACACTAACTCTCCAGTAAGGGATCCAAACCAAAATGAAAATTTTGAAATACTAGATAAAGAATTCAAAATATTAATTATAAAGAACCTCAATGAGATGCAAGAGAAATCTGTAAACCAACACAAAGAAATCAGAAAACCAATTCAGAATAAGAATGAAAAATTTTCTAAAGAAATAGAGACTCATAGAATTTCTGAAAAAAAAATTCATCTAGGGAATTACAAAATACAATGGAAACGTTTAACAATAGGCTAGACTAAGCAGAAGAAGGATTTTCAGAGACGAAAGAAAATTCTTTCAAATTAGTACAATTGGACAAAAATAAAGAAAAAAGAATTCTAAAAAATGAACTAAGTCTTTGAGAAATATGGGATTATATAAAGCGACCAAATCTATGAATCTTATGTATTCCTGAGGAAGAAGAAGAAAACTCAGAAAGTTTGGAAAACCAAACTTTTCCTCAATTGAGGGAATAATTAAGGAAAACTTCCCTGGTCTTGCTAGAGATTTAGCCATCTAGATATAAGAAGCTCAATGAACTTCTGGGAGATTCATTATAAGAAGGACTTTATCAAGGCATATAGTAGTCAGATTATCTAAAGTTAGTGTGAAGGAAAGAATACTAAAAGCAGCAAGAGAAAAGCATCTCATCTCCAAAAAGGAAATCCTATCAGACTTACAGAATACTTCTCAGTAGAAACCTTAAAAGCCAGAATAGATTGGGGTTCTGTTTTTAGTCTTCTTAAACAAAATCTGTCAGCTAAGAATTTTGTATCCTGCTAAACTAAGTTTCAGGAATTAGGTAGAAATAAAGTCTTTCCCAGACAAGCAAGCCCTAAGGGAATTTGTTACCAGTATATCGGACTTCCAAGAAATACTCAAAGGGGTTTTAAACATCAAAATTAAAGGTTGATACTCACCATTATAAAAACACATAAGAGTATAAAACTCACAGAGCTTATAAAACAGTAACACAATTGAGAAATACAAAGCAACTAGGTAATGATCAAAATTATGACAGAAGTTGTACCTCTCCTATATTAACTTTGAACAGAAATGGACTAAATGCCGTGCTTAAAAGATATAGATTGGCAGAATGGATAAAATGACAGAATACAAATATATGCTTCTTTCAAAAAGCTTTCTTAATTGGTAAAGATTTTTATATACTAAAGGTACAGGAATGGAAAAAATATTCCATGCTAATACAAACCAAAAGAGAGCAGGGGTGGCTATATTTATATCAGACAAAACAGATGTAAATCAAGAACAGTATAAAAAGTATAAAAAGACAAAGAAGGGCTGGGCACAGTGGCTCACACCTGTAATCCCAGCACTTTGAGAGGCCGAGGCAAGAAGATTGCTTGAGTCCAGGAGTTTGAGACCAGCCTGAGCAAGAGCAAGATTGAATGATGTTAAAATGTCTACTGCCCGAAGCAATCTGTAGATTCAATGCAATTCTTATTAAAATATCAGTGTGTGTGTGTGTCTGTGTGTGTGTGTGTGTCATTTTTGCACAGAGCTAGAAAAAAATTCCTAAAATTTATATGGAACCAAAAAAGAGCCTGAATAGCCAAAGCATTCCTAAGCAAAAAACACAAAACTGGAGGCATCACATTACCTGGCTTCAAATTATACTGCAAGGCTGTAATAGCCAAAACAACATGGTACTGGCATAAAAATGGACATTCTAGTTGTACAACTAGAAAATGGCAGCAGCTGGTCAGTTGCCTTTTTCTTCTGATTTCCAATTTGAGAAAATTAAAATTATTCTTAGATTGCTATCTAAATTAGCCACAAATGTATGGTTTATGAATATCCTTTAGGGAAAAAGTAGAGCATAGTGTTTAAGAAAACTATTGGTTTAGAATCGAAGCTTGTCCCCTTTTTAGTTGTGTGACTAGGGTATGATGCATCTTTAATCTATACCTTTGTTGCTCAATGGTAAAATGGAGTAGTGCCTGCCTCACACGATTGTTTTGAGGGTGAAATGATTCAATACATGTACAAAACACAGAATATTTCCAGGCATGTAGTTTATAGGTGACTTTTATGTAAATTTATTATTATTATTTTTAATATTATCAGTTACTCCATTAAATATATGGCTCCTGAATGCTGATTTTCTAATTTCATCTGAATGTTTCTTTAGAATCTTGTCTGATGGTGCATAGTATAATGTAAAAGTTTCTTTAAAATGTTAAATTCATTTATACTTTAAAGCATCAGGAAAGGTAATAATTCTTTGTTAAAAATCAATGACATTTTCCCAGTTTATATTATGTGATAAATTAAGCTGTTTCTACAATAAGTCTCACCAATAGTAAATATTACTTTTTTTTATTTTTCATTCACACTGATGTCCAATGAATGTTGCTGCTAAAACAACCTTAACTTTAATGTATGAGAAAGTCTAAGGATTGCCTCAACTGGTTTCCATTTCTAGAATAAGCCAATATCATATTGATCAGTTAACGTTTATTATGTCTCTATTGTGTATTTTCTGTGTGTATGTATAATTGTGTGTGTGTGTGCATATGATAAAATGTAATGTGTTTTTCTGGTGTGCCTGTGCACAGAATTTCTACATATAGACACACACACACACCACACACATACACAGAAGGTAGATTGACTTAAGGCAAGTCCAATTTGAAAAGTGAATTTGAGGTATATATTAAACTACAAATGTAATATATTCCTAACACATTCTAGAATTATTTTAGCACAATTTGTAAAATTCCTTCATGCTTCAGACATTTATATGTATCTATTATGCACCAGGTATTGCTAAGTGGTGGATATTCAGAGCTGAAGAACAGTTCTTGCCCTCAAAACCCAAAGGGGAATGCAGACAAGTAAAAAACAAGTGTCTTTATACTAACACATGCACCAGGTACTGTGATAGACATAAGTAGAGAATGTCATTTAAATATGTAGGAAACTGGTTTAGGAGATTGTTGGTGGAATTTATCAGATACTTTAGCCAGAACAAATTGGAAAAGGAAGGCACATGCAGTGAAATCACTAAGAGCGTAAGTAAGAGTAGAACTGAAGCAATGTAGCGATAATTTGAGGTTAAAGTCAATTGGGAACATTAAATTTCAAATAAATGCAAAAATGGGGCCTAAAAAAATCAATTTAGAAGTCATTCATT